ATTTTGCTTGCAAGAGGGTTTATTGAAACTCTGGCCATAAATCTTAACAAGAAAGTTTGAAAAATCGATATTTAATTAATTTTTAGGAGGTGAATTTTACTGCATACTCTTAGTTGTTTTCAAATGCTAATGTCTATCAATGAGATGCCTAATAAATGGTTAAAATGGAAAACCTGTGTTTTAGTTTTGAACTAGGAGAGGAAAGGGGGATTATTAGCAGAGAGATTGGATGGAAGAGAATGCCTTTCCAATAGGGATATATCTGTGCAAGATGAGGTCTGTGGAAGAAGAAGACATGCTTGAAGTATCATTTTTAATAGAATCATACCCTACACCCCAATGTTGGCAAAGGAGGGGCAGCTGAACCTCAAAGCCCTGAATCTTGACCCTTAATACTTACCTGACTCTTGGAGGCCTCTGGCTAATTGTCAGTGCTGCTTCTCTGGCTTTGTTAGGGGTGGGGTTGGAGGGGCTGTTGTTTTCCGCTTAACACTCTGGCCCAAGAGTAGCCTCTTCTCTTAATTTGCTAAGACACAGGGGAGGCCAGGCTGAACCTTTCAGTGGGTCTTTACAGAGGGCTCGCAGGAAACTCATAGGACCCCCACATAAGAATCACATGGGGGGAGCTTATTCAAATGCATGTGCCCAGATGTCAGCTCAAGATTCTGATTTTACAGATCTGGAGTGGGACCCAAGAATCTGCATTTTTAAGTACCTCCCAGGTCCATGAGAAACTAGGTGGACCACACCTTGGGAAACACCATGAGAGAGGCCAGAGTTAGGTTTTCATGGTGTTAGGGGGATATTCTGAACAAGAACATGTGACCGTCTCTGTCCTGTTCTGTCATTATGGTGGTTCTTAGGGAGAGGTACACACAAAGAATAATGGCACATGTCCCTTTAATAAAAATCCTCCAGGAAGCTGCTCCAGAGCAAATGGCTCCACTTTGAGGTCCCCGCATGCTTTGAGATCCACAGATCTGCCCCAGCCTTTCTTCAGGAGGCAGGGTATGGAGCCAAGCACAAAGGCAGGTGCTGATGTTTAAGGCACAGTAACTTGCCCACTACTAAAAACAGGTCCAGGGAACACACTGAGCNTGCCTTGTTCAATTAAACAACAGCCATTGGTGTTTTAAGGGGATCAGAGAATTCTGTTTGTGGAATTTTTTAAAGGACAAATATTGATGTGTGCACTACAAAACTAAGACAAATGATAATTGAAAGAGATGATAAAAGCTAGTGGCTTCCTTAGGGAAATGATCACAAATTACTGTCACACTGATTCCAATAAGAAAGAGCATTGCTGTATGTGAAATGTTTTTTAAATAGCTCAACCAAAGCAGTAAGCCAGAATACTTCTGAGGGCATCTCTTTTCTGTATATTTCTATTATATCCACACCTGAGACCCCTCAATTTACATTATTCACTACTCCAGCTGCTGTATCATGGTCAACACTCTGTTGGAAATGCGGAATACCAGATTGCAAGAAGGATACTGTTTGTGGGTCCTTGAGATAATCCTATAGTTTCACCACATTGATTCACCAGAGGATGCCATGCAGGAGAACTTCCATTTGCCCCCAGAGAGCCACTCTCCACCCTGTTCCTGCTCTGTACCCCAGGAAACTGGCCTGTGTAGACCAACCGTACCTCCTTTTTCTATGTCTTCCTGTTGAGTTTGACAGTTGAGTGGGTATGTATTATAATAGGACTGGATGTGATAGGATTGGCTATGTTCCCCTAGTAAATGCCTTCTGCATACAGTTTTCCTCTCTGGGTTTCAAAAATGTCTCCCTCTACTTGCTCCTTCAGGCATACAGTTTATAAGAGCTCTTTGGTGCTACCAGCCATAGGCATTGCATTATTCATTATTGGTTTCCTTAAACCCTGCCTGCACTTTTGTAAATAGTCTGTTCAATTCTTCTCAAATTGGCCATTTGGAAGGACCCCCCTGGATTCTGCTGGAACACTGACTGATATTTGCCCAAGTCACCCAGATGACAAAGCCGGTTATATTGTAGATATCATAATCTGTATCTTTTGCATTATTTTAAGTAAACACTCTCTTCTAGGCTGGTCTACCTTTGATTTAGAATCAAATAGAGCAGGGATCAGTAACCTATAGCCTTGCAGGCCAAGTTCAGCTGGCCGCCTGGTTTTGTAAATGGAGTTTATTGGAATACAGCTATGACCACTTGTTCACTTCCTGCCTGTGGCTGCTTTTGAGTGACAGCCAGAGGTGAGGAGTTCCAACAGAAACCGAATGGCCTGCAAAGCCTAAAACATTTGCTATTTGACCGATCACAGAAAAAGTTTACTGATCCCTGATTGAGAGGAAAACCATAATGGGTCAACTTGATCACTTTCATCAAGAGGCTCCTGGGCCAGATGGGGGGGGCACTTGTGAGTGGCCCCATGACAATGACATGGGAAGCTATAAACCCCAGAGCTAGACAGGATTGCATGAAGCATTACATTGCCGTGCTGACAGCAGCAGCGATCTGGGAAGGCGCTCTGTCCTAGGATGCAAACATAATGTGACCAAGCAAAACTAGGAGGCGTTTGTATTTAAATGTGTTTCTCAATTATGATTTCATAATTAAATAGTTTCCTGAAAAAAAAAATGGCTCTCCCTAATGTTTCAGCATCTCCCTATCAAAGTTATTTTGTACGTATGCATCTCCCACATCAGGCTGTGAGTGCCTCTTGGGAGAGTCCAGGTTTTATTCATATCTGTGTTGACCAGTGCCTGGCACAGAGCGGCTGATGCCCCATAAATGTGTCTGGCGAAACGATAATCAACATCTAATTCAGAGAAGTAAAAAGAAATAGGGGGGTGGAAGACTTTAACTGGGACGATATATGAGCTAATGTTCTCCGACTCTCTTTGACAGTTCAACCTTCACAGAACAAGAACAGCTATAAGAAAAGGCTGTTTTTCCCACAAAAGGCACCCCTTAGGGCACACTGACTACATAATTTGCAGGGCCCAGTGCAAAATGAAAACGCAGGGCCCCTTGTTCAAAATTTATTAGGAATTTCAAGACCGTGTCAGCAGAGCATGAAGCCAAGCATGGGCTCTTCGAAGACGGGCTGGTTGCCTGCTCACGAAACTGGCCCTGCCGTAAGGATTAATGAGGAAGAGGCAGCCTGTGGAAACTCAGTGGGGGTTCTTTGAGTGTGGAGGGACTGCAGGGCACTCAGCCACAAGGTGGAACAGACCTTGGACGCTAATACTGTGGGCTCTAGCGACTGCGTGCCACGAGTTAATAATGCCTACCATGGAACAGCTCTTTGTCAGTCACAAAGTGTTTGCGTTTATCTCAGATGCTTACTCAGGAGGGTATTCTTTTTCCCCAAGCCCACACGGCTGGCTTTACATGGACTAACCTGTTTGCTCTCCCTGACTCCTCCTTGCTTTCAGTTTCACCCCAAGTCACCTAGGTCACTCCATCTAGGAGCACCAAGCCACATGTGTACTAAAGCATCTCAGGGCTAGACTGTTTAGATGTTTCCTTTTTGGGAGATAGTTCCTGCCATCATACCTGTCTTAGTCTGTTTGGGCTGCCATAACAAAATACCACAGACTGGGTGGCTATAAACAGCAGAAATTTATTGCTCATAGTTCTGGAGGCTGGAAGTCCAAGATCAGGGTGCCAGTGAGGTTGGGTTCTGGTGAAGGCCCTATGCCAGGTTGTAGACGGCCTCCTTTGGCTGTGCCCTCACATGGTGGAAGGGGCTAAAGAGCTTTGTGGGGCCTCTTATAAGAGGATTAATCCCATTTATGAGGGCTCTACCCTCATGACCTAAGCACCTCCCAGAGGCCCACCTCCTAATATCACATTGAGCATTAGGGTTTCAACATGTGAATTTGGGAGGACACAAACATTCAGACTGTAACAATACCTAACTGAAGAACAATGTATATACATGAATGGTCCCTTTATTTTGTCTCCAGAACACTCCCCTGCCCCCTTCCTCGCCATACAAGGGAGTTTAGGGGACCATCCCAAGCATTCTGCAGAAATCCCTGTGCCACAATACCCAAAGCCTTTCCTGACATTAGACATTTACCCTGTGAGCAGCTGAGCCCTTTCCCACCCTACCCCATGAGCTGTATTCTCCCCTTAGAATTACATTCAGCCTCCAGGAAGTTGCCAGGTGGTAAGAACCATAGGTGGGGCACTTTGAGCTCTAGCAAGGACTTCATGACTACTGCTTCCTTTTGACTGGAGGAGCCCCCATTTTTGTTTCTTCCAGATCACTGCCTTCTAACCCTTCATCCACTCCACCACCCTTCCTGCAAAGGGGCTTTAGGGTTCATTTCTAGTCACTGTGATCATGGAAGCTGCGGATGCCCTCTGCTGAAAAGTAGGGGCTACCTCACAGTGCTAAAAGGCCATCCTTGCCTGCGCAGGTGGTGCAGGGTCCTTGCCTGCACATGCAAAGTTCCAGAAGCCAGGAGGTCTGGACCACTGGGTGGTGCCACTGGGCCACCCTGTCGCCCTATCTGTCTCTGTGCTGGGGAAGGTACCCAAGTGCCCCAAGGATTTCAGGCATTATGGTGCTGAAACAACGAAACTAGCCCTTAGGGAGGCACATATTTCTGAAGCACTAAGCTCTGGAAACCGCAGTAGATAGGGCAGTATTTCTTCTGAATGGCGAATAGCACTGTGTAATACAAACCTGCAGTTGAGAGAGCCGGATGGGGTCAAGTGGAGTTTGCCTTTGATCAGAAAAGTCAGATGTCCCCCAGGGCCTTTGCAATCTCCTGCTTAACCTGGTAGCTGGGCTTTCTCAGGCCTCATTTGTCTCCCTGTGACTGATGTGGCATTAATGACAGCAGCTCCAAACCAGCTCCCTGCCTTGTGTGTGCAGATGTGTTTGTTTTGCAGGCAGCTAGAGCGGCTTTGTCGCCTGATACTCTATGCCTTTTCCGCCCCCCACCCCCAAACCCCTCATCCCTTACACACCAACCTATGTTTTCTCTCTCTCACAGGGTCCCCGGTGGCATATAGACCTCCAGCCTTGGGCAGGCCCTACTCAGTCCCTGGATGAAGAAGCCTTGAGGTTCCTGAGATACATCAGCACCACCCAGGTTGTGTTTCCTGCACTAGTGGGTTTGGAAATGATGTAAAAGATACTGGTTGCCCCTTTTAGAGAAACATTCTTCAATGAGGGGTTGGGGAGGTTCTTAGCCACTGCTGATAGGGGCTTGATAGAGACATGGTTCCTGAGGCATTGCTGCTTAAATTTATCCACTCACTTAGAGGCAGATAAGATGCCTTCCATTTGCTTCAGCATCCTCTCTGTTCCAGGAGTATCGTCATCCTGAAATGTTTTAATGATTCATCCCGATGTGTTTTAAGGATCCACTTTAGAAAATTGCTTTGGAAAACCATTTGAAGTGACAGATTCGTGCCCGTGAGTAGGCAGTCAAGTGTGTCACAAAACAGAACCCTCATCAAGCTCCGTTTTGTATCTGGAGGAATCTGCCTTTTTGCTTTTCAGTCACAGATGCTTGGCAGACAGGTCTGCACTAGGCTAGATAGAGAGCAGAGGACACTTTGCAGGCAGTCTGAGGAGAAGCTTGTGAATCCAGAGGCTTTCTATTCTTCAGGGCACTTTAAATTATTACTGAGCACTGGCCTGTGCTAGTGACTTAACATATTGTGGCAGCTCCTGCCCAGCTCCGCAGGCTGAGTCAGTGCCCAGAGCAGGCAGAGAGACCATCCATTAAGGAGAGTCTGTGGCTCTTGACACGTTAATCAGGAGGTTCCATTCTCAAGTAGACTGATCCTGGGGGAGAGAGGGACATGAGAAAAAAAATCAAGGCCACAGGGAAACTTCGCCCTGAAATGAGAGGTGCCAGTAAATTAGCAACTCAGACTGCCTGTGAGGAAGAGAGGCCCACTCGGGAGACTGCACTGTGGAGCCGGTGTGGCACGGGTACCGTGGTTCTTTCGGTGTCCTTTCAGGACACTTGCTCTTGGCATCCCACTCCTCCTCCCAAATCTCTGGTAAAA